ACACGCCTGGACTCACACACACACACACACACACACACACACCTGGACACACACACACACACACACACCTGGACACACACACACACCTGGACACACACACGGACGGACGGACACACACACACGGACGGACGGACACACTTGCACTCACACGCCTGGACTAACACCCCGACACACGGCTGGACACACAAACTCTAAAATATTAGCACACCTGCTCTGCTGTTTTAAAAACTGAGAATCCACTCCTTTCTCACACCTTCCTTTCACAGGCTGATGTTGACAATCTGCAACTTAGAAGTAGTCATTTGCAGTACAAAGGAGTAATATGTTGCATACACATACTTAATTAACCAAATAATGAAATACTATAAATGATTAGCTTTTCTTTTATACATTGTAAAAGTGTGTTGAATAATCTCTGCTCCTAATTGATAAAGAGATTGGAAACACACAGTTGCAAATTAGATTTAAAAGACTTCAATAATTCCTGAAATTGTGGGTTAAACCAAACAAAACCAAATAAGATCTTTAAAAAAATAAGTGTTCATGTCGGTCCAGCAGAGGGCGATGTTTACTCATAAATATCTTCACTCTGATAAATATACAGATTATTTATTTAGTGAAACAAGAGCTCCCCTGAGATTAGTTGAACCTTTACATTAAGAACAATGCAGCGACTGTATTGTTTATTAATAATAATAATGGGTTTCATTTATAAAGCACTTCATATTTGACTTCAAATCCTGAAGTGCTAAAATATTAATTCCTCTGTTATAACTCTGTGATTGAATCAGGGCCAACACCTTAGACACAAATCTCACATAAATAATTCATAAAAATGTAAAGATGTCATCACAACTTAAAAATGCTTGGACTCTAAAATATGGAGTTATTTTCTTTTACATTTTTAACAGAGAGGTTTAAAAACATTGCCTTAGACATTATGATGGACATATTTGATTTGACGTTTTACAGATCAAACAATAAATCAAATAAATATCGTAACAAAACTGCATTGTTAAAACGTTTTTCACTGAGCTCTATACATTTTTCAAGTTATGTTAAGATGTAAAAACTAATCTTTGCAATAACGGAATTAAACAGTGTCTTATATACCATATTACTATTTGAATAACAAAGCAATCGTGTTTGAAACATTGTAAATACGATGTTTTTTACGTGTAGTCTGAACGATATGAACTGAATTAAAGTGGAAGTTAAATGAGGAGAAGAGAAATGATGAAGGTCTTTCACCCACAAACGAAGAGCACCGACGACCCCTTCACTTCCAGCATGACACACTCTTGACCTTTAACCTCACCCCTTCATTCCTTCCTCACTTCCTTCCCTCCTTTCCTCCGACCACGCAGCGAGGAGTGAAACTCAAAAAGGTGTTGCATGTTTCTCTAACCTCTGTTCAGTGTAATGTAATGACTGTGTCTCTGAATGGCCTCGCTGCTGCATGACGACCGGGCGTACTCCAGACATTTTACCCATGATCCCTTGCAGCTCACCGTACCGTTGTCCCTGGTCTTGTTTTTCAGCCGCTCTGTGTTTATGTAAACGTAAAGATCAGTGTGTGAACGGCTCATACATTGTGTTCGTCTGCTTTCCGTTCAATTGTTAAAGCATGCTGAAGTCATGGCAGCCGGTGTCATACTTGATTGATTAACAGGAAACATACTAAGTGTCGTAGTTTGTCGTATCAGTAGAAGCAAAACTATGGATTTATTTGTGCTGAACATTTCCTTAAAAAATGTATTACACACAAACCTTTGGACTCAGAGGGGCTTCAAATGCATAAAATCCCAGTTCTCCAGTTCAGACGGTTCTCTATCCTGGTCCTTTTTCATGAATCGTGGTGGAAAGATAACATCTTTTGAAATTAAACATATTTTCTAATTATGCAAGAAGAAACCGAACTGCGTAGAACAGCAGTGGGTTACTTGTTACACTTAAAATCTTTAAAATGATTCAGTTCAAAGTATACACAATATTGTATTCTATGAGTGCAGAAGAATGCTATGTTTCTCAAGCTGAACACACATGGAAGAAGACACCATGCAGAAGTGATATACATACTAATACATATTGTGACTTTAGCATTTAATGAGCCACACATGAACTCATCATCCGATCCATGCCGACCGTCCGATGCTCTTTTAAAGTCATCCTCCGCTGTGTCGTACATGCAGGTAAATGTCAGACCCCCGCCCCCCCCCGCCTGCAGAGAACAGAGCTGCTGCAGAGCATTGATTTCCTGTCCGCTCCACTTTATCGTCTCCTGACTTCCGACCTCAGGAGCTCAGATCGGTCTCCACAGGGAGGCTCGAATGTTCTTTCTTTTCCAGATGAAACCGAAGGGTTGAACACAGAAGGGATTCAGAACAGGCAGGAAAATGCAAAGAATAGATGACATAAGCAGAAATGTGCCATAAACAATAAACTCTCTCAAAGATAGTTTTTTTTATTAACTTTTCATTTTTTTCTATATAATTGCTATGTATTATTCATTTGGTTACTACTATATCTAATTTATTGTTTTTCTATACTTGCTTTTTTAATCATGTTTTTGTTAATGTTTTTATTATCTACTATTTATTTTAATATGATATTTTTCCTGTCCCTCAGTTATACAAGTACCAATAAAGAAAATACTTTTGCAAGAAGAACAAGAAAAATATGAAATATAGAAAAAGGAAACGATTCATATTACATTTTGAAAACATTAAATATATTAATTAATAACAATAATTACAAATAATCTAAGTAAAAGAACCAATGTGAAATAATTGTATACATTTATAAAGCCTAAATCATTAGTATTAATTGTTATAAATCCTATTTTCCGTTTTATTGGGTCTCTTATAGAAAATTCAATTTCAAAATAATTTCTCCAGAAACATTTGTATTTCACTAATCTCACTTTCCATGATCAGATATGTTCTCAACCACAGTTTGTTGATGCTTAAAGTTCCATTATCTTGGTGGACAAAGTGAGTTCTTCTTATGATTTATGTGCTTGCACTGCGGTCGTATGCAGTAAAGTTTTTCAGCTTGACAGCAGAGTATCTGAACTTCACGCTTTCTCAAGTTTCCCCGTGTCCGATCAAAGGAGGTCACCGCTTTGCTTCGTCAGTTCATCGTGTGTGTGTGTGTGTGTGTGTGTGTGTGTGTGTGTGTGTGTGTGTGTGTGTGTGCGCGCGTGTGGGGAAAGCAGCAACTTGATACCTCCGCTGAACACATCCCATCCTCCTCTCTGCCTGCGCGTCTGTCTCCCTGCATCACTTCGGCTCAGAGCAGCACTTGAGCCTGTGAGAAAGAGGATTCATATTTCATGAGGACAAACGTCTCTGGGCTGCTCTGTAATGGATACACAAAAACACTCTTATTTCTACCCCAGCCCCCCGAGGTTCTGCTTCTCGTTGTAATATTTGCTTCAATATAATCTTGCATGTTACAGCCTGCATTTAATCTATAAGCTCAAAAAACATAATCACAGCAATTTCAAATTACTTTCTGTCAATTTTTAGGCGTACAAAGTATTTTTGGCTTTAAAAAAGTAGCCTGATTAGCGGACAGTTAATCAGAGTATTCCCTCTGGATTAATCCGCTTACATCCGCTCTTCCTCCTGTTAGTGCAGAGATTAGTGGAGCCGGAGAAGATACTGCGACAGATTTCTTACACAAAAACACCTTCTAACTCAAATCAGTATTCTATCTAAAGCTCAGGACCACTGCTTGTTTGAATCTTAATAGTCGATGTTATGATACTGCTGGATCTTTTAAGCCATTTTGCAAGGATTCATTGTGTTATCTTTTGTTAGAAGACATAACCAGTATAGAGGAAAACACAAGTACTCAGATATTGTTCATGTCACTAGACTCTGTTACAAATGACATTACTGCAGTTTAAAGCCTAGTAAAATAAAAGTACTATTTGCACAAAACATACAAAGTCTATATAAGATAATGCAGATTGGCCCATTTTAGATTATAGATTATATTTGTTGATGCATTAAAATGTTAATCATTTTAATGTTGTAGCTGGCAATACATGTCAAATGAAGGGGTGTCACGACGCAAGTAGCAGACATTTTATTTTGAAATGTACATTCCAAGCACACCATCCTATAAAGTAATACAAATTGTTAAATCATGTTAATGTTACTTTTTGTAAATATGATTGAAAATATTTTATATTAAATGGGGATATCATATCTTCTCATGTCAATTGTAGCCGCCTTAATCAATTTCCTAGCATGGCACACGTTGTAATATAAGCAAATCATTCTCCAAACAAATCAACATGTTTAAACTTCTGATCTCCATCCCTGGTAAAAACAAAAACATTTCTTAAAACCTCTTTAATTTGTGACACAGATCACGTGTCCTCATTGTTTTTGTCCGCCTCATTTGAATAATCAGCCCATAAGCAAGCACTTCTACTGTTGCTAGGTGACAAGAGAGACTTGCATCAGCGTTGCTGCTCATTTTTCTCCCTCACTTCCTCCGTCTCACCTCCTCCCCTGTCTGTCCCCCGTCACACATCGTCTCACCCCTCCCTCCCTCCCTCTTCCTCTCCCTGTCTGTGCGGTGATGAGAGGGAGGGGGAGGGGGAGAGGAGAGGGAGGGAGGCTGCTCAGTGATGTAATGCAGGAACAGGAGCTCGCCTGACAAATCACAATAAGCAGAGAGAGAGAGAAAATAGGGAGGAGGGAGGGAGTTGAGGGGAGTGAGGCGTCTCCTGTGAGCAGTAGCAGGTCGGAGGCTGTCGGCAGAAAGATGTCTGAGGCGTAATCGGAACAGAGAGGAAAAAGGGAGGCGAGGGCTCCGGTGCATGGACTATGAGACGGGGGACATAAAGAAGGGCGAGAGCAGGAGGACGGAGGAAGGGAGGGGGAGTCTGGGAAAAAAATCTCTGCGGCCATTTGCACCACTGCAGCTTCCCGGCCTGAGAGTCTGTCTGTCTGTCTGTGGATCGAGCATCTCTACCTGTTTTACCACCTTCCTCTGTGTGTGTGTGTGTGTGTGTGTTTCCTGGTAACTGTGTGTGTCTTCTTCTCTTGCAAATATGATGAGACAGACTCCTGCACCCCGGAAGGTACAGAACTCAACCTGATCGTCCTTATCTGTTGGGATGTTGTCGTTATTGTCATCCATGCATTTGATTTTATTGGCAGGGCTGCTGCTTGGAAGTTTCCGTTATCCCCTTCTTTTTTTTGGTGGGAATTCCCCTTTTTTTTATTCCCTCTTAAATCATATTGTATACCCCCATTGTGGGAGTAGTACCTGCAGCTTGCTCTTTTTTTAAATCTTTTTGTTAGCTCTGATTTTTGATCATGCATTTGTATTTGTGTGCTGAAGCTTTTTTATATCTTCACTTGTGTTTCTGCCTGCACACGAGCTCCTGTCTTTTCTTTGGTCTCATCTTGCAGCAGAAGCCTTCCAAAGTGTCTTTTTTGAAATGTTTGTTCTTGTATCAGAGGAGAATGAAATGATTTCACAGTTGGTAGCAGATCTAGCAAACAGTCTGATGTGATTCCAGGCAGGTTTGATATCTTTAGCACGCCGCTATGGCTTAAGAGGCTGTCAGCTCTTATTTGGTACAGCTGTTAGCTCTGGGCTAATTTCTGCTGAATGGTCCGGCTCTAATCCAATAAAGAACGGTAACTGCTAGCCACAACGAGGCCGTGCCCGAGCCGAAGCACAGAGAAGTGGAGGCAGTGTGCAAGAGAGGAGAGTGAAGGACTTCAGATCATAATGCATGTGTGCACAGACCTGGGTTACAATGTGTTGGTGTGAGATAATAACATTATGAAGTCCTATGTCGAGAAAAATATATATATTTGAAATTATGACTTTTTTTGCTGAACAAAACAAAATATTTATTTATTATTTATATGTAAGATTTAAGTCCATAAATCCATTCAAGTTTTTCTGTCATCACCAATGTTATTTGAAAAAATAATCACAACAAAGCTAATGTTTCATTGGTACACATTCATTTTATTTAACTTTTTTACATTATTTACTCAGGAAGTTACATCTCATTGAGAGTAAGATAAATGAATAATTTGAATGAACTGCAAAAATGTTCAGAAGGATTGGGTAAAATAAGAAAGAAATCAACATACTATATAACGTTTTCACATTTAAAATAAATTATAATAACAAGGACATTTCCTTCGGGTTAAACTGAACACACTTTTCCAAATGTTCCAAAATGACTGTAATTAATAATTTCTTTTAGGAAATAATAAGGGCATTAAGAATAATATTACAATATCCAAAGTACAAGACAAGTCAGTCACGATGTTGATTATGTTGTCATATTGTTATATTACCTAGCTTTAAAACATAATCTTTAAATACAAGTTTAAAATCAACAGCTCATTCAATCCAAACCAACTGTTTCATACTTCTAAAGACTGGATATAATACCTCGGCAAAAACGCTTGATGATTAACAGATATAATAAAAAACAAAACGAGGAAAAAAACGAGTTAAAAAGCAACAAGAAAATACATGTTGTTGTCCTTTAAGCTCTCATTAAACAAAGTAACCCAGGTCTGCAGGACTGACACTAGTGGGTATCTCTGAGTAGCACGTTTCTATGTTGCAGGATAACAAGCTATTATCCAGCGAGTGCATCAGAATTGAGCCTCATCTGTGCGCGACACAAAGCAGTCATTTAGGTCACGGCGGCCGTGCCAGTCACAGCGAGCATGTTGACGGTTTTTCAGTCACGTGGGAGGAAGAGATGAGTAGACCGGCGAGTACAAGAGGGATGAAGAGCAGAAACAGAGCAGAGATCTGTAGCGATGGTGCTCAAGAATGAACTCATTGTGCTGCTTTGTATTCAGTTCCATGCATCCATCTTGTGTTTCTGTGTGTGATTTCTGGTTAAATATATCTGCCTTGAATCACTAACTCTGCGTGTCTGTTTTCCTTCCCTTCCCTCCTCTCCTTATATCCTCCTCTGCTTACCCTTTGACCTTTTTCCTCTTCCTCCTCTTCTTCCTCCTCTTCCTCTTCAGACCACGGTCAGAAGGCCCAAGGTGAGCCCGGTCCTCAAAGTCCGCAGGGCTTTTCTATCACTTTGAATTAAAGGCTGGGCAATATGTTATATTATATTGATGTCACAATATAAGACTAGATATGGTTTTCAGAATTTTGGATATCGTATTAACGTTAATAAGCACATTGCTGTATTCTCCTGCTTTTAATGTGGTGTTATTTTCAATTTTTTATTATTTGTCTTGCGTCACAAAGTCATTATATCCACAATACTGATGATTATTTTTTTTTTCAAACAATATTGATAACATTATATTTGGTGAAAGATATTGCTTCATTTGATATAATCCATATTGCCCAGCCCTAGTTTGAATAATGTATATCATGTGTGCTTGTTGTTTCACTTCACGCAGCAGTGTGTATGTTTGTGCGAGTGTTGCAGAGTCAGCAGCGACAACACATCACCAGCCATGATTCACAATACACCTTATTTCAGTCAACAGCACCAATATCTTTGTACTTGCATTTTGATTTTCTTTAGATTTTTTGTCCATTTCCTCTTCTTCACATTTTTATTGACCGCACAAACACTGTTTTGTCTCCAAAAACAGACAGCAGGTGTAGTTACTGTTGCTTTGGTTCAGTCCTTATTTATGTTGTTTATTTGTTTCTGAGCAGTTTGATGCATATTAACTGCTTTGTTTGCTTTTCTAATACTATTTTCAGTTTAATCATGAGCATTTTTTATTACCGTACTAGTCTTTTTTTTCATTGCTTATGATCACAATTTAGATCCTAAATAAGTACTTAATCCAGGATATTGTCCACATGGAAAAAAAACGACATTATTGCCAGTAACTTATCATCGAACAGACATTCATACCCAGTGAATTTCACTATATGTTTGATTATATTTCATATTTTTTCTAGTTCTCTACCTGTGTTTTTAATTCTTGTTTTACTTGTATGTATGCGCCATGACCCCAAGTCAAATTCCTCGTACGTGTAAACCTACCTGGTGATAAACCTGATTGTAAAGTTTTTTTTTAAAGGCTCTTTCTCTTGATTTCTCCCCCCTGGTCTCTGCAGCAGCCCACCCGCTCCGCCCCAGGGAAGGGGGCTGCGTCCGGCTCGGCATCGGCCTCTGCGGGGGAGATGAGCAGCAGCGAGCCCAGCACGCCGGCCCAAACCCCTCTGGCTGCTCCGGTCATCCCCACCCTCCACTCCCCTGGAAACCCCCCGCCACCGGCCCCCAGCAAGGTCAGTTATCAGCGGTAAAACATCACAGTGTAGAAGCGGCAACACAGAAAATCGTCTATGCAATGGACATAGAACAAGGTGCATCAACCAGCAACTGAGAAAAGTCTCTATGCTGTAATTCAAGATTCAAGGCTTTTATTGTCATGTGTACATACAGTAGCTACAGTGCAGTTATGACAATGACACTCTTAGGCTCCTCTAACAGTGCAACACAACAAAACAGATAACAGTGCAAGTAAATAAAATAGAATATAATAGAAATAGTGCAGAATATACAAGTAATTGGAATATTGATTTATATATATAAATTGCAAACAGATGAATGTAATTTCTTACAGGTTAGATTATTTAAAATGTACACATAGGAAACAGGTGACTAATGCCAGCTTTGAAGAAACATTTTTACCAAATATTTATCAAGAATAATAAGGAGGGCACATGAGACTGTGTTTTTGTAACACACCACAAATCAGTGTGTTAAATAAGCCAGGAGCAGAAGAGCTGGATTCAAATCAGATGTGACATTTCCTTTGCTATGCACAGCTGTCAGTTTGTATTGTTGTCATAATATTTCTTTTTAAATCACAAATGAGGTGCAGGCAAAGAACAAATGAAACATTAACACTTATTCCAGTGTGATAAAATGAATAAAACACCATAAATCTTTGGTTATAGTTCATAATGTAGCACCAGTCCTTTAGTTACATAATCCATCCATGCAATGTATTTGTACTGTTTTTTCTGTTCATGCTCAAAGGTCGCTGGAGTGTATCCCAGCGTCAAAGTCAAAGTCAACTTTAATGTCAATCTTTCAGTTTGTGTGTACAGACAGAGAGATCGAAATAACGTTTCCAACAATCCCGAATACAATAATACAAATATACAAATATGTATAAAATATGTATATCCTATATATACACAATTAACAGACACATTTACACATATGCAAATACTAATAATACAAATAATGAACTTGGGCTGAGTGGTATTATGACACCTACACACACATTAAGATAAAAACACAACAACAATCAATATATACAAAATAACAGTCACTTCAATATTAATTGTCTGCACTGGGTATGAGGCAGGGTAAATCCTGCACACTTTGAGAGTCCCCTACAGGGTTTATTTACTGTTTAAATAATCATTTATCATAAAGAAATGAAATTGAAATTGAAACACATTTCAAGTTTCAGATCATGGTGAATACAAACTCTGTCCTCAGTACAGCAGTCTGTAGTGAGATCGTAGTAGCAATGAATTAAAGTGTACTGAAAGAATACAGTATGAGTTATAGTCGTAATAGAACATATCAAATTCCATGTCATTTGTGCTGTTTACACATTTTAAGAAGTCAAATGATAATTTATTTTGATTTCGGACACTTTTCTTTCTGCATCTGAACTTTATAGATCTGAACTAGCCTATTAGGATTTAAGTCACCCATACATTGATATTACGAGTGCATTCAACAAGTGTGTTACTGTGACAGCTATTCAATTATCTGCACAGATTTAGATATTGCAGACAAATAAAACTAACAAATAAAAAAAGACGTGGGCCCAGGATTGATCTCTGAGGGACACCACATTCATCACTCACTTATAAAATATTTCTATATACTGTATAAAGAACATTGAGACAAAGTGTCTACAGATCAGCTCAATGTGAGGCTGCTGCTTCTCAGAAATGAAACTAAGCAGACCATGGTGGTTTATGTCCGTTAAGCTTCACCTAGATGTCCGAATGTTATTCAATTTAATCCTGCAAAACTTTATTGTCTGTGGACTTTCCGTTAGTCCTAAAATGCGCACAGGTTGAATCGCAGAGGATAGAGATTTTTAAGTTAATTGTCAGCTTCACTCTAGTGTTACATTTCAGGCGGTGATCCATGTTTTATCCCCTCAGGAGGACGTTCCTATGGAAACAGAGGTGCAGTCATGTGGCGTGATGTTTTCTTTTTGCACTTGATATTAAAGTTGTTGTTTTTTCTCACTAACATTTTGGCAAGCTGTCAAAGGTGTGACTGCCTGTTTTTAATTGGTGTGTGATATGGCTCTGTTCACACGCTGGATTTCTATATTGGAGGTTTAAATTTAGATAGTGTGAATGTGTCACACTCGATGAGGCATGTGTGTGTTTTGTCGCCGACTTTTCCCTTTCTACAGGTGGAGTCACTGCATGGCAAGGGAAATGAAAGCGTCCTTACACATAAAAAGATGAAAGCTGTACCTTAGAGTTGAAGCTTTACACTTGTAGAAAAAAGCCTACATTTTGTGCAACAGGTGAAAAGTCTAAATTGTTCTGATAGGGATTTTGTTTAAGAGGTTAAGGAGGTGGAGGGGTCTATCAATGAAAGGGTTGTGGGTTTGATCCCCGGCCCCTGCTGTAAACATGCCTTGGGCAAGGGACTGAAACCCAATGTGACCCCTAGTGTGGAAGCATCTGCATGTGTGTGTGTGCGTGTGCGTGTGTGTGAATGCTGACAAGTTATACAAAAGCTTTGAGTAGTTGCTAAGACTAGAAACATACATACTGTAAATGTACACCATTTAAGATATGATTTCTCCCTAAGTAAAGGATTTATTTGCAACAAACATCTCATATTATTCCTGATTTCAGAAGATAAATATATATATATACAAATAAGCCAAGATATTTTTGTCTGAAAGTGTTTTTTTACTTTTTTAAATGTGTGATTACTAATTGAATCTGTCCTTTCCTTCCCCTTTGTCCTCTTCCTTCATACCTCTTCCCATCCTCCACGCTGCGTCTCCTCTCCTCTGTCTCCAGGAGGAGGAGGCGCTGCGTCTGCAGGTGAAGGACCTCGAAGAGAAGCTGGAGACGCTGAAGATGAAGAGGACGGAGGACAAGGCCAAGCTGAAGGAGCTGGAGAAGCACAAGATCCAGCTGGAGCAGCTGCAGGAGTGGAAGACCAAGATGCAGGAGCAGCAGGCCGAGCTGCAGAAACACCTGAAGGAGGCCAAGAGGGTGAGGAGCAGCGGGGGGGGGATGGAGAGGCTGTTTGTAACATGCATACACTAAATGTCAACAAGGGTGAAGTCAAGATGATAAAATCAAAAATGGACGGACATTACAGTGAAGTAGATCTTGGAAAATGTATTTTTAGATCTCCTCCTCAGTGCTCTCACAGATACGTATATTTTATAACGTAAATGGAACTAAAATAATTGAATTTAATTCTGTTTTAACTAGATGAGAACTTGTGAAATATATTAAATCCAGATCTTTTTCTGGTTTCGCTTCAAATGGTTTTGTTATTAAGTTTTCCATCTGAGAAAAATGACTGGTGAAACTGGAGGATACTTATTTTAAACTTTAATGAGATAAACCCACTATTTCTTTTGAAGATCATGTTCTCCTTAAGGCAGAATGGAAACCCCACCCAAACAGCAGCAGGAAAATAAATACAATAATTCATTTAAATGAGAAATGAACTTAACTTAATTATTAAATTAACTTAACCCTAACCACAGAAAAGGGCAATCATCTCAATAAAACCCACATTATAATCATAAATAATCTTCTGTGCGTAGGAGGCTAAAGAAGCCCAGGAGGCGAAGGAGCACTACATGGAGGAGATGTCGGACACGGCGGATGCGATCGAGATGGCGACGCTGGATAAGGAGATGGCGGAGGAGCGGGCGGAGTCTCTGCAGCTGGAGGTCGACTCCATGAAGGAGAAAGTGGACGAGCTCACCATGGACCTGGAGATCCTCAAGCACGAGATCGAGGAGAAAGGTAGGGATGACAATACAACATGTTTCCTGATAAACATTATTACTGTCTGGCACATTCTCAACCCTGCGTGACGAATTAGAGAATATTCAAGGTCTTGTCCTTTAATCTCAGATACATTTCTTTTTGTTTCTTGAGGATGTGCCATTTTTATTTCAAAGAATATTCTTAGTTTTTGGCCGTTGTCCAATCTTGGATAAGTATTTACTTTTTCTTGTATGTGCAATGTGCAATTTATTAAGAGAATAAATACATTTGGAAATCTAAATTTGTGATTTTCTTCACCTAAATTCACCTTTTTAATCTCAGAGAAAATTCCAGTTTTCTCTCAAAAGTTAGATTTTTCTTGCAAATGAACCACTTCAATTTCAAAGAATGTCCACATTTTTAGGATTCCTCTTGGAAGTGTCATTTGGTGGATGTAAACTCAAATGTGTTCTTGGTGTGTTTAATCGCTGCAGAAACAAAAGGAAGAGTGTTTTTATGACTCTGGAGCTCAGATGTGTTTCTGGGGTTTCCCTCACAGGTTCGGATGGAGCGGCCTCCAGTTACCATGTGAGGCAGCTGGAGGAGCAGAACGGCCGACTGAAGGAGGCTCTGGTCAGGTGGGTGTGCTGATACCATCATTTTAATTACTTTTATGACCCATTATACTATGACTGTTTCATGGAGAAAATGACTTTAACTTTAAGACATTAACTGGACATACTGACTGAAAAACCTGCATGCTTTAATATAACTTTTTTCCATGGACCTGGAGATCCTGAAGCATTAGCAACAAAAAATTGTAGTCTTTGGGCACCTATGAGTTACATCGACTGTTCACCCTGCAAGAAAGCCACTTATTATATTCATGTATTTTTTTGAACAAGAACCATGCATACAAATACATTAATTAAGAGATGATTCATTCCAGACTTGAGCCAATAGTTAATTTCCATCTGCAGTCCTTATTGTGGTTTGACCATCTAGCTTAACTACAGAACTCCATATATACATATAAAACATATACTCCTATTTGATATACACTTCCAACATCAACATGACAAAGACCCACAGTCTTAACAAACAAGAAATACAGGAAAACAAAACAGCTCAAACTCACGTAAAGGAATATGTTGAATATAAATAACCATACATCGTATATAACTTCTAATACAGTTCATCGTCCTTAAACAAACACAAAAATACAATTTATATAATGTGTGTAAAGGCGACCTTTTGTATGTCCTCTGTGTTTTTAAAACGTCACATGTTCAGTTTTAGTTTCTTAAAATCAATTGATGATTTAAAGGTTGGACCCACATGTCGATGGTTTTCTTTCCCTCTGTGCTTCAGGATGAGAGACCTGTCGTCGTCGGAGAAGCAGGAACATCTGAAGTTGCAGAAGCAGATGGAGAAGAAGAACGTTGAGCTGGACGCCCTGAGGGGCCAGAAGGAGAATCTGCAGGAGGAGAGGACGGCCGCGGAGAAGACCATCGACGAGCTCAAAGAACAGGTCGGCGTTTTTATATCTGCAGAATCTGCCTCTTTACTGACCGTCACTTTGACTATTAGACAGAAATAGATATACTGTATTTATTAAGAGTTATTTCCTGGAAATCAATGGTAATGGAAACGTTTAAAGCAGATGTTTCCATGCCGATATATGATGCCGAAGAGACAAATAGTTCTTCCCTTTCTGATGATGATGAGCTCTGGTTTCAGGTGGATGCGGCTCTGGGGGCGGAGGAGATGGTGGAGATGCTGACGGAGAGGAACCTGGACCTGGAGGAGAAGGTCCGGGAGCTGAGGGAGACCGTCACCGACCTGGTGAGAGAAAAACATCAGTTCATTTAGACCAGGGTGATCCAATTTATCATCACTGGAAAAGATACATTGGTGTATTTAAAAAATGACAAATCACTGTATGGGACCTGGGAGCTACATATCATTATTTCAATAGATTAGTATTATTCGTACTATGTTTGTTGACATACTATAATCCAACTTTTTTTTCAACATACTATACTATGACTATTTTAAACTACAACCGTAATATATATACATTCATCTATTTAAAAAGGCCACAAACAGAAAAATAAAGAAACTCAGGTCATCTCCAGAAAAGAACGTAGTTATTCATTCCAACTTTTTGCCCCTGCTTGTTGTCTCCTGTCGTCAGGAAGCCATAAACGAGATGAACGACGAGCTGCAGGAAAACGCCCGGGAGACGGAGCTGGAGCTGAGGGAGATGTTGGATCTGGGAACGGCAAAAATCAGAGAGTCGGAGAAACACGTTGAAGCGGCGCAGGAGACCGTGGCCGATTACCAGCAGACCATCAAGAAGTACCGTGAGCTCACGGCACACCTGCAGGTACAGAGGGAACGTTTAAAATCAAGGCATAACGTTTAAATTAGGGCTGTCAAACGATTACAAATTTTAATCAGATTAATCACAGCTTAAAAATTAATTAATCAGATTAATCACCATTCGAACTATGTCCAAAATATGCCATTTCTTATGTATATGTTGCCAAGG